TACCCACTCCAAGACGACTCGACAGAGCGCAGGGGAAGAAGCCTGCCCTGCCAGCCCCGACCCCCCAAAGAGGGGAGGGGCCACCCAACGCCACCGCAGGCCGCGAGACACAACCCGAAAGGCCCACGAATCGTGGGACCAGGCGCGGGCGAACAGCGCAAGCCGCCCCCCCATCGCCCCGTCAAAGGGGCAAACCGCGAAAGGGCCGGCGACCCCTACGAGACCCAGAACCCCGCACAGCGCGAACACCGCGCCGACCAGACGAGGGAGGGTCCGCAGGAGGAGCCAACCCCAAACCTGACACCAGAGGCTTACCACGACGAGAGGAACCCCGAGCCCTGGCACGACCTTTCCGGGAAGACCCACCCCGGGACCCCCGGAAAACCAACAAGTCCGACATCGGACGACAAGCCGCCGACGCAGCCTGAATAAACTGCGCCACGGCCGACTCCCCAAACAGGAGAGGACAAAAAGGTGAAGAACGCCTAAGAGCCAGAGCCCAAGCAGATCCCATGGAGGAACCCAGCACCGCCTGCCGACACGCGAGACGGGAAGCATAGAACAGGGAAACCGCATCCCGCAAAATCGGCGTGAACAGCTTCAACAAGGCAGCCGACGAACGCGCAGCCGAGGACAAGGTGCCGGACCCCGGGACGGACCCAAGCGTCCCCACATCCTCCACGAGCCAATCCCAAGACAGCTCCAGGAGGGAAAAGAACCGCAAGGCCGAACACAAAAGGCCCCGAGCGCGCAAGTCCACCGCCACGAGCGCCGCCGAAAGGGAGGGAACCTGCACATGGAGCTGAATAACGCCCACATCGCGGGGAAGGGCAGGGGCAAACAAGCACTCATTCAGGTACTCAAGTTCACCCCCCAGGAAAACCTGAAGCACCGTGGAAGCTTCCCGCCACTCCAGCGTGCGGGAACGACAGAAGGAATGCCAGGAATCCAGACCAAACAAGGGGCAGTCTGCTAGCCAGGATGACTCCGGAACCTCGTAACGGAGCCAGAAAGGGAACGAAGTCCCAAACCTGAACGTGGACGGATCCATTTCCGAGGCATAATCCGGGTCACGCAGGAGGTAAGCTGCAAAGGCCGCTCGCACCACACCAGGTTGGATGCGATAAGCCGAAAACCTCCGGAAGGACGGAACCGACGTACGCGGGGGAACACGGAACCGTACCTGGGGAGGGGCCTACACCAAATCCAACTCGTACGCAGAGGGGGGGAAAGAAAACCCCACTCCTTGTAACAATAAGCCCCGCTCAGTGGGAAGAAAAACCCCGGCGGGGTCCAGCGGGGCCCAAGGCCCCCAAGTCAGCCCCTCCCCAGCCTCGAGGTCCGTCACCACAGGACCCGAGGCCGAGTCCTCTCCCCAAGCCCCGACCCCACAAGACAAGGACGGAGCAGCCGGAAAAGCTGGAGGAAGAGGGGCCCACTGGTCAGACCCTGAAGCTTCGGCCAGGAGACAAGACTCGAATGCCTCTGCCGCCCCCCCGGAAGGGGCAACCCCCGAAGCTGCCCGAGTCTCGAGATCAAGTAACCCCTGCTCCGACCCCGAAACCCTCAGACGCTTCGGGGCCGGAAGCAGGGGCGGGGGACCAGAACGAACAGAAGGGGAAGGACGAGGAGGTGCGGACTGAACCAGGATCGAAGCGACCCCCACCCCCAAGTCCGGGTCTCGAAAAACAAAGCGGGGCAGCCCCGGGGCATCCGGGGAAGCAACCAACCGAGCGCGTTGCAACAGACGAAACCTAGACTGCAACGCACGTGCCGCCTGTACCCGAATAGAATCAGAGGATTGGGTAAATTGAGTCACAAGCAAGCAACAACACTCACAGGACTCAGGGTCGAAAGTATCACCGACCCAACAGGCAGCGTGGGAGAGGCAAAAACAATGAGGGTCACCCTGAGACAAGGGGACCGAGCAACCCTCAAACTCGCACACAGCGAGTGGGGACTCCGGGGTCACATCCATCGGACCCACGCGCCCCCTAGGGGATTCCCAGGGTCCTGAGCGTTTACTTTAAGAGGACTCGCGCTCAGGTAGTCCCAGGCAGGGTGCTGCAAACCGGCGCCCAAAACTACCAAGCAAACTTCTAAAGCTGAACCCCAGGGACGTGTACACTCACGGGGACCTAGCAGGGGGCACCACCGATGAGAACAGTGGAAGGGCAAAAACAAACTGAATAAAATGACAGAACCCCCCACCAGGCAAAAACAAAAAGAAAAACAAAACCCCGCAAGAGGACAGCGAACCCCAAGGAACAGAGCCGGCCGCGATGTCGGGAAATACAAGCTGAGCAGCACCCTGCGCCCCTACCAGTGCAAACTGCCTCTTACCTGCCGGTAACAAGGGAGAACAGAACACCCAAGAGCCCAACAGGCGGCCGAAAAACCGAAAGGTAAAACGGACCAGCAGAGGCAGACCCCGAGGAGCCTGTGGAAGGTGGCCCCAAGCCCCAAGGGCAGTACTTACAGGGCACCTAGGGAAGGCAGCCCTAGGCGCATGCAGCCCGAGTACTGAAGATAACTCCTGGCTCTCGCACCCACAAAACTAACACCACACGCAAAGCACAGTGCAGTAGCGACACCGGAGCCAGAGCACACGACCATCGCCTATAGCATCAGCCTCAAGAACTGAGGTGTGGGTAGCCGGCGCGGGGGGGTCTGGGGCTCCCCCTTCCCCCTCCCGGGGAGGGGGGAGCTGCGCAGACAGCGGCGCGGCAGTGTGTGACGTCACACTAGTTTGCTTGTTTTCGGTTGGGGAGTTCTATCCACTAGTTCGGTTTTAGGTAGCAATTTTAACCAGAATAGGGGTTTGTTTTGGGGCGCTTACCTTTCTGGGTGCCTGTTCCGGTCGATGGCAGACATTGAGTGCTTCCACTAACACGGGGGCTTCTATAGGCCATTGCTCCCCTTGCCTCTCTGAGGGGGCCCGGTTCTGGCCGTGGTCCCCGGTAGGCCTAAGAACTCCATACACATGACTGATGCCAAAGTCTGACATTAGCATATCAGCCTGGGATAGCTCCGGGGAGCCGACAGGGCTCCCCCCAGAAAGAAACATAAGAAATAGAGAAAATTTGTGTTAGAATTATTAATCTTACTTTTTCAGTCATATTTAACAACATATGTTTACAAGAAACACTGTTACCAAAATATACTAATATATAAATACAGTATATCACACTACACACTATTGAATAATATTACTTCAATAAAAAAATCAGAGACACTGAAATAATTTGGTAATAATATCTTTGTGGCACCTTCCGCCTGACAGCTCGAGCTGACCACCTCCGGCACTTGCTCTGTCAATGCCTCTTTTTTTGCCAGACTTCACCGCCCTATTCCTGCCAAAATATGCTACCTACGATTTTTTGTATTATTTTCTCATGATCAGGAAACATAAATGAACACTTTTTTAAGATGAAATATTAATTTTTTTTTGCGCCTGTGGGTGTTGAAGACCAAATAGCCCAGAGGAGCTTAGGGGTTAGGCCTTTTATGTACTAGCTCTATCTAGAAATCCAACTTTTTTTTTTGTAACTCTTCTTGTATGTACTTTTACCTCAATAAACATTTGATTTGATTTGAGCTGACAAACTGGAGTGGCTGGGTCGCCGGCACGCCGGGGCTGTATGAACGAGCGACGCGGCGATGGAGTGTGACGTTTGCTACTTTCCTCGGGATTGGAGGGAGTTCTACCTCTCTGTTCAGCTTTCGGTTATATTTTTCTTACCATGTGGTCTGTTTTGTTATGCCTGCCTTTCTGTGTGCCTAACCCAAGTTAATGGAAGATAAGGAACCCTCACCCCCCCCCCCCCACAAGGGGGTTTTCCAGGGCCATTGCTCCCTGCACCTCTCTGAGGGGGGGGGGCCATGTTCTGGCTAGTGGTCCCTGGTAGGCAGAACTCCATAGACTAATGCCCCAATCTAATGATTCGCATATTAGTCCGATAACTCCAGGGAGCCACAGGTCCTCCCCACTGAAAAAGTATATTTTTTATATATTTCATGGTCAAATCATTACGTGATTTTTTAAATTAAAAAAATCAACATTTAATGTAAAACTATTTTTAATGAAAACAATGCTTTCTTAACTTTAAAACAAGCACAAAAAGGTTTAACCTCAAATAGAAATGAAGTTACAAATTTTTATGTTGTCAAGCTTGTAAGCAATTTTTTTTTTTTCACATTGACAACCCTGCTGTATGAATATTTTGCTTTTGTAGGTTACTTCATGTTCTCCGCCATCCTACCAAATCTCACGATAATGAGATTTGGTCATGACTTAAGACAATAACTTAAGACAGTCGGGTTGAAAAGTCCACTCGAGTGATAATATGGCTGGAATAACCCCATTAGTTTGCATAACTCTGTCACTGTAATAAGAACTATCTTTTGTATTCATCAAATCTGACATATATATATATATATATATATATATATATTTACAGTACAGTACTTCAATTACTCATATAAAGCTTATACTGTACACTGGGTTTATATCCCTCCCCTCAATCATTATGATGATGACCTCCATCTATGTTTATATTGATATAAAAGTGACAAAATGATTACACAAATCTCCCTTTCTTCATTACACATCTTGTGGCCTAGCACATACAGTAATACCTAACAAAAACAAAATTATTTATTTATTTATTTATTTATTTATTTATTTATTTATTTATTTATTTAAATAATAGATTTAAATTTAGAATAGATTCTAAATAATTCTAAATAATAGTCTAAATATATTCTAAATAATAGATTTAAAATTATATAGGCAAGTAGGTAATATAAAACACAAGCAATGATACAAAATTAAATATATTCCCAGTAAAATTTGTACATGTGAAATCCAAATTTCACATGTACAAAGCTAAACCATTTACAAGATTAGTCTTAAATGTACTACAGCTTATGTATTTAGTGTCACAGATTAAGAAGTTATTCAATTTTTTAAGCATCTTTCAACTGTAAATAGCACTGACCGATTGTATTAGAAGCCGAGAAGTTTATACAGTACATTATTCCACTCGGGATTAAGCTCGCCTCTTAACTGTAGATACAGCTACTTGCTCTTCTCATCAGTTATCCCATATATGAAAAATGGAGAATACATCACTACAGTATAATTTATGTAAGATAATAATGAAAGTTTAAAAAATTTAAGGTAAGACAGTACAGAAAGTTAAAGGAGAGTATCAAAGCATTTCATGGAGGCTTACTTTGGCAGTTAGTTATTAATTATCAGTGTGAAACTAAAGTGATCTGCCAATGAATTTCCTTGTGTGAGAAACTCACGTTACGCCAAGATATTAATACTGTACTCGCCTCTTATAACATATTTAGCACAGTACTTAAGTTTGATGGGATTTCATCTTAAGAACATAAGTGTTTCAAGCATAAAGTTCTTCATATATTGTTCACTACTCAACACATTTTGCTGCTGGTCACCAATACTGTAGATTTTTATATTGTTCCCTTAAAATGTTTATGTATTAATTAAATGTTAGTATATACTGTACCAAGTTTGATACAAGAATATTTCCTATGGGTCATGACAGCAAAATTTAGTACTGTATTCTGTAATACTACAAACAATAGCATTCAACTTTAAAAGCAATTGTTTTTAAGACTCCAATTGCTGGTAACCAAATACAGTATAGAGCAGATATCTACTCACTCAAAGAATGAGTTAAGACAACATTTAGCAGTAAGGCTATCTATGATAGAAATCAATTACTTATTATAAATCTTGATGAACACACTAAATAACCAACTCTTCAAATAGTAAATTGTCTAATTTAAATATTGTATAAAAATATATAAGACAAATTTTTCAAGACCAAAAAGGAAGAACTGCCAATACTATATTTCATGATACTGTACCTGAATATCACTTTTTAGATTAAGGACCTGCCCGAAACGTTGCGCGTACTAGTGGCTTTACAAGAATGTAATTACTACGCTATGTATCCTCACAATCCCAATGTACCTTCTTGTATATATATAAATAAATAAACAAATAAATAAATCACATGTTAAACCAAGTCAGTTAACACTGTACAAGAGCAAATTGATCAAATACATTTTGGAATATTGTGTAAAGTGTATCGTAAAACTGCATACTGTACAAAAATTTAAAATTTTCTTGTGGTTTAAATGTACAGTATTTCTCCCAAATGATAACCTGCCAAAATATAGTGTGCAGACTACTTTAATCGTCATCCTACACAATGAAAAATGTATTACATAATGTTTAGAAAGAAGGCAACCAATCAAATTGAACTAAGAATTTGCAAAACACAAATTGAGAGCAGAGGGGATGTAAAATTCCTTGGAGTTCAAGTTAACAACCAGCTGAATTTTAATAGCCATAAACAAACATAACAGTTTGTAAAATAGTAGGAACTCTCTCTAAAATCCAGTATTATGTACCATGCTATGCCTTGGTAACACTATATTATTCACTCATCTATCTGCCCTATTGAAATCCTTGAATATGTTAAATACCAAGATAATTGCACACACTAAGTGCTCTATATCTATAAAACTTTACATTGCAATACCTCAAACACCTCCTTGAGAGCTGTAACAGAACTTATGGCCACCACACCAGAAACAAATATCTATTTTTATTTGATATCTCAAGAGTGTGACTCAGCCAAAGCAGAAATGTCGTACAACTCAAAGGGTCTTAACTAGTGCAATGGCATTCCAGAAGAGATTTAAAACTGTACTTTCCTCAATCATTTTGAATGAGAAACTAAAAAATACCTAATTAACATTATATAACCAATTTCAACTCACATTTACTCAACCTACGTAAGTCAAACCGATTTGCTATTATTGTGAACATTAAATAATATACTGTATCTGTATTTTTACTAAAACTACAGGTTCTATATTTAAGTAGTCTATGCCTTTCATTAATAAATATCACTTAATTTTTTTTTAATAATTTGCTAATTTTTTTACAATTCATATGTGTAACATTACTTTTTGTTTAGTATTGCCCCCATTAAACTTATAAATAAATTACCCGATTATTTTATATTATGCTTGAAACGCTCTATGTATTAGTGGCTTTATATAATTTCATAATTTCATTTATATAATAATAGTTCCAAAAGAAGGGGAAAACCAAAGCAACCCACCCACCTCCTGCAGTTCAGGCAATGAAATACCGGGAAGCAGTCAGAATGGAACAAGAGCATCAAAACTCCCAGAGGAAGCTGAAATCTTCCTCAGGGAATGTCACATAGCCACAATTTATGAAACATGCAGTGCACCTGAAGGAATGGTCCCATCTAATGATCTTGGAAGACCTGGTAAATGCTGGTCATGAAGCCCAAACCCAGAGTTGAGCCATCCATAACCACATCAAGTGATGGGAAAGTATGGCGCTACAGAACCTGAGCCACAAAAAATCAGAAGAGGAAGCCAGTGAAGCATGAGCAAACAAAGGGTGGTTGTGGCTAGAACCCGCCAGTCTCAGAAGCGGCAAAACAGGTAAAATGGAACAATGCCTGGTGGCAAACTCTGCACTGCAGGAAAACATACAGGCAAAGAATGATTGCCACACAACCGATTGATCAACAGGCTGCAACAAAGTTGTAAGCTTAGCAAGGCCACCGGAGGCAGATACAGAGACACTGACCTAAGAGTCCCAAACGAGGGCCCCAGACAAGTCCAAACTAGAGATGGAACCAACTGGAATTTGCACCAGTTCACCAGGAACGAGCTCAGTGAGCTGGGAAAGAACCAGAGCCCTGGCCAGCTGACATATACATGCCAACCGGAAGCCCAAACTAGCCAGTTATCAAGATTGGTCAACAAGAGAACCCCAAGCGATGGAGCCAGGCCACAACACCCAACACTAACCTACTAAAAGCAAGGGGAGCCAGACTCAAACCAAAGGGCAGAACCTTGAAGAGATTAGCCAGACAATGAAACCTGGTTGGTTCTCAGGACACCACATGACTCACCCTGCAAGATCAGGTGCACATAAGCCAAAATGGACATGTGGAAGGTTGGATATGGAATGAAGCTGTTCAAACCCAAAAAGCACAGATGCATATAAAAGTAAACTTGACATCTGGCAGCTTCACATACTTCACAGATGGATCAGTAGACCAGCAAGGACAAGAAACTGGAGCTGCAGTTAAAGCAGGAAACTCTGTAAATAGTTGGAGACTCTCAAATGGGCGTTCGACTTTACAAACAGAGATGCTAGCCATTCAGAAGGCTTTGGAACATGCTCTTACTGAATACTGACAACATGTTATCATACATACAGATTCGAGAACTGCCATTGAAACCTTGTAACAAAAACACATATGTGATAACATCCATCTGATCACAAATGTCATATCATTAATGCAAACACTCAAACGTCAAGGCCGTCGGGTACTTATCAACTGGGTGCCAAGTCATGTACAAATAATAGGAAATGACATTGCAGACAAAGCTGTAAAACTTGTAACTAAGAGAAAAAAATGTAGACATTTACATACCACAGAGTCTATCACAGATTAAGAAAATAATTAGAAACAGAGCAAATGCAAAAGATGTACAGTGACCACAACACAGCAGTTGCAACATCAGGATCTGCAGGTTGGTACAAGAATTCAACCAACTACGAACCACTTAGTTTGATGAAAGGGAGCAGTAGAACAACAGAAGTACATTTACATCGCATCAGGCTTGGAAACCCATGTGCATGAGAAATAGGCTTACAGGTTCCAGAAGATGAGAGGAAATGTCAGCACTGTGGAGAAATGCCCGACAGACCACTGGAACATTATCTAGCATAGTGCAGAGTTACAAACCCATTAAGGTTTCAACTTCGATTCAACAGAGCATTAGTTTTTTTTTTTTTTTTTTTTTGAGATATATACAAGAGTTGTTATATTCTTGTACAGCCACTAGTACGCGTAGCGTTTCGGGCAGGTCCCTGGAATACGATCCCCTGCCGCGAAGAATCGTTTTTTCATCCAAGTACACATTTTACTGTTGTGTTAAACAGAGGCTACAGTTAAGGAATTGCGCCCAGTAAATCCTCCCCGGCCAGGATACGAACCCATGACATAGCGCTCGAGGAACGCCAGGCGAGTGTCTTACCACTACACCACGGAGACTGTTAAACACATGTGTTGTTAAACACATGAGACAAAACCTTACCCAAGTAAAACAGAAACAAGCAACACTTAGTGGGCCAGCCACAGGCTTAGGGCCCGTGCAGGAATATCTCTGAAAAAAAAAGAAAAAAAAAGAAAAGAAAAAAAAAAAAAAAAAAAAAAAAGCAGAGAATGAAATGGAGGCCCAGGCCTAGGGACAAATGAGACATCCACCAAATGTAAAAGGTCCTTTCAACCACACCCAAGTCCAACTACATCACAATGATCAAACACAGAAGTGGGGAGCTCACTGGTCAAGAGTGACCAGCAAGCCCCAACTCCAAGAGAGCAGAGGGACTAACCAATTCCACCGCATGCCAAGATATGACCTGAAAGGTCTAAAAATCATGAACCAGAAGCTGATAAAACAGGTCACATGTCCCCCTCTCAAAACTCACAACACTGCCAAACAGATGAACTGCAAAAGTTTTGGCATTAACCATGAGTGGTGCCCGTTTTCTATTTCGCCCGTGGTGCTATTCCCATGAGGCAAGTTGCCTCATGGGAATAGCTTTGTTAATTTATTTTTCACTGTTTCTCACTTGATTTATCTAGTTATGTTTTGCTCTAACAAGTTGCACCTGTGTGTCAAAGATGGCATTCATTATGTATAACTTTGAAAATATGTATACATATACATATAGAGATATGTGTATAAATATATGCACACTGTGTATTTATTCATACTTATATATAAATAGGCCTATATAAGCTTAAATCTTAGAATTGGACATATCACACATTTTGCCTGAAATATATAATGGTAATCACTCGCTGCTGTTAAAATTTCAGTGGCATAATATGGCTACTGTGCACATTCCTAAGGCCATGGCCTTAGGAACATTATGCAAGCCTTAGTAAAGTAGGCCACGTTACTAATGCCATAGAAGGAAAGTGAGAGATTCGGGATTATTTTCAAGATGAGGGATGGTTCCTGGAGGCCTGAGGAAGCAAATGTGAGCCCTCTTGTATGCATGGGACTTTCGAATCTCATGATATATTAACATCATCACATGTTGGCTGGCGCACCACCACACCCCTTAATATGTCGGCTGGTGCACCACCATACCCCTTAATATGTTGGCTGGTGCACCACCACACCCCTTAATATGTCGGCTGGTGCACCACCACACCCCTTAATATGTCGGCTGGTGCACCACCACACCCCTCAATATGTCGGCTGGTGCACCACCACACCCCTTAATATGTCGGCTGGTGCACCACCATACCCCTCAATATGTTGGCTGGTGCACCACCACACCCCTTAATATGTCGGCTGGTGCACCACCACACCCCTCAATATGTCGGCTGGTGCACTACCACACCCCTCAATATGTCGGCTGGTGCACCACCACACCCCTCAATATGTCGGCTGGTGCACCACCACACCCCTTAATATGTCGGCTGGTGCACCACCATACCCCTCAATATGTCGGCTGGTGCACCACCACACCCCTCAATATGTCGGCTGGTGCACCACCATACCCCTTAATATGTCGGCTGGTGCACCACCATACCCCTCAATATGTCGGCTGGAGCACCACCACACCCCTCAATATGTCGGCTGGTGCACCACCATACCCCTCAATATGTCGGCTGGTGCACCACCATACCCCTTAATATGTCGGCTGGTGCACCACCATACAATATGTCGGCTGGTGCACCACCATACCCCTTAATATGTCGGCTGGTGCACCACCATACCCCTTAATATGTCGGCTGGTGCACCACCATACCCCTCAATATGTCGGCTGGTGCACCACCATACCCCTTAATATGTCGGCTGGTGCACCACCACACCCCTCAATATGTCGGCTGGAGCACCACCATACCCCTCAATATGTCGGCTGGTGCACCACCATACCCCTTAATATGTCGGCTGGTGCACCACCATACCCCTCAATATGTCGGCTGGTGCACCACCATACCCCTTAATATGTCGGCTGGTGCACCACCACACCCCTCAATATGTCGGCTGGAGCACCACCATACCCCTCAATATGTCGGCTGGTGCACCACCATACCCCTTAATATGTCGGCTGGTGCACCACCACACCCCTCAATATGTCGGCTGGTGCACCACCATACCCCTTAATATGTCGGCTGGCGCACCACCACACCCCTCAATATGTCGGCTGGAGCACCACCATAGCCCTTAATATGTTGGCTGGTGCACCACCATACCCCTTAATATGTCGGCTGGTGCACCACCACACCCCTTAATATGTCGGCTGGTGCACCACCATACCCCTTAATATGTCGGCTGGTGCACCACCACACCCCTCAATATGTCGGCTGGAGCACCACCATACCCCTCAATATGTCGGCTGGTGCACCACCATACCCCTTAATATGTCGGCTGGTGCACCACCACACCCCTCAATATGTCGGCTGGTGCACCACCATACCCCTTAATATGTCGGCTGGCGCACCACCACACCCCTTAATATGTCGGCTGGTGCACCACCACACCCCTCAATATGTCGGCTGGAGCACCACCATACCCCTCAATATGTCGGCTGGAGCACCACCATACCCCTCAATATGTCGGCTGGTGCACCACCATACCCCTTAATATGTCGGTTGGAGCACCACCATACCCCTCAATATGTCGGCTGGCGCACCACCACACCCCTCAATATGTCGGCTGGAGCACCACCATACCCCTCAATATGTCGGCTGGTGCACCACCATACCCCTTAATATGTCGGCTGGTGCACCACCACACCCCTTAATATGTCGGCTGGTGCACCACCATACCCCTTAATATGTCGGCTGGTGCACCACCACACCCCTCAATATGTCGGCTGGCGCACCACCACACCCCTCAATATGTCGGCTGGTGCACCACCACACCCCTTAATATGTCGGCTGGTGCACCACCACACCCCTTAATATGTCGGCTGGCGCACCACCACACCCCTCAATATGTCGGCTGGTGCACCACCATACCCCTTAATATGTCGGCTGGTGCACCACCATACCCCTCAATATGTCGGCTGGTGCACCACCACACCCCTTAATATGTTGGCTGGTGCACCACCACACCCCTCAATATGTCGGCTGGTGCACCACCACACCCCTTAATATGTCGGCTGGTGCACCACCACACCCCTTAATATGTTGGCTGGTGCACCACCACACCCCTTAATATGTCGGCTGGTGCAGTGCAGGTGTTAAGCCAAGATAAATAATTTTGATTACCACTAGGTATTAAAGTAGGTAAAAAAAATCTTATGATACTTATGACATTTTGTGAAATAACAAACCTTGGCCTTGTGCACCTTCAATATTGCAGTTAAACTGCACAAGTCATCACTACAACAAATAAACATACTCACCAAAAGATTTTTGTTTATTTTACATCACAAAATACAACCAAAAACTAATTGTGGCAATTTTCACTACTAGATAGTATTTAGATTGTTTAATAAATAAATATGTACATATGTGTATATATACACACCCACACATACAATATATTATGTATATTTATTTATTTATTTTGTATGCATATGTAATTATGTAAGTGTAGTTACAGGACAAGAGCTGACCTCATGGTGTTCAGCTTCCCTCCCAGCAACCTGTCATAATACTTTGAAACTACTTATGGTTTTGGCCTCCAGCACCTTCTTTCTTAACTTGTCTTAACTACTCTGTTTGCGAAAGTGAATTTTCTAATAGTTTTCCAGCAGCTATGTTTAGTTAGCTTAAATCTTGTTGTTCTTGAAGTTCCAGGTCTCAAGAATTCTTCTTTATCAATTTTGTTAATTCCTGCTACTATTTTATATGTAGTGATCAGGATCTTTCATGATCAGGGTACACCTCTATTTCTTCATCTTCTAGTTTTGGTAAATTTAATGTCTCTAAACTATTCTCATAACTCTTTTCTTTCAATTCTGGAAGCCTTTTATTTTTAGATATACGTCTTTGCACCTTTTCCAGTTTGTTGATGTGCTTCGTAAAATGTTGGGCATCATACAACCACTGCATATTCCAACTTTGGTCTCACAAAGGTCATGAACAATTTCTTAAGTATT